TTGAAATTTGTTCCTTAACTTATGCTTGTCAATAATAATGAGCGTCATTCAGTTTAATGAAATGTTGTGAATTGACACGATGTGACATTTACTTTTTGTCATGCACTTCTTGTCAAGTATCAACATCGGCTACTTCTTGGACCACTTTTTTAGCTGGCTTTTTTGTGAAAGTATGTACATACGTCAGTTGAATAGGAGGAGGAAAGAACTCGTTTTTCCTTATCATACTAAAATGTCATCCAATTCAGACCATGGAATGTGCTCCGATGCAAATTTAATGCCAATTCCGTATGTCAATTTAATCGATTTTATCAAAGGAAATTTGATACTGGGTACGAATTTTAATTCGAATAAGTAGATAATCCTATGGGAGAACTGGTGTCAGGTGGGGAAGCTAATCAATCAAGTAATTTTGCCAGCATACTTCACTCGTGATAAAGCTTGAGCTTATCATCAATCAATAAACGGTGGCAAAGTTGACGCTAATTAGACCACGGCCGGTTGTAAAGAGCACAATTTGTGGTGGATGGGGGTGGGGGTGGGGGTGGATTTGATGGGGGTGGGGGTGGGGGTGGTTTTATAAATGCCGGGTAAATATACGGTTTGATTCGTTAATTTAAAGTTTTGTGAAATTCATTAATTTTAAGTTAAAATTTAAATTCGTTAATTTTAAGTTTTGTGTGGTACAAAACTATCGATTTGAAAAAATGGCTAATTCATTTGTCATTTTTGCACAATAACTTTCCTTAAACAATGGTTTCGCAATTTTAAAAAAATCGATAGTTTTGTAGTAACAGAGATTAACTTAATATCAAAGTATGAAAAGTTGCATTTATCTAAAAACTCATAAAATTGGTGGTATCTTATAAATTTGCATTGCAATGGTTTGAAAAGAGGGTAGATTGAGATTTAAAAATGTGTGACACATTAAATCGTCACCCTAAACCCTAAATATCTAGCCTTCAACATTTTCATAATTTTGATCATGCATTTACGTAACGCCGAAAAGAGTAAATATACAAAATATAAATATCTAAAATTATGTACGTTCAGATCGGACGTGTTCTTCCTAGAATCCGGTGTTATGTTGTTATTGGTTTTAAAATATTAGTGGATTTACTTATGAAATTGATGCAATTTTAGAAATTTCCATTAAAGACATTCAATAGGAGTAGTGAGTGTGAAATTAAAAATGAGTGCTACATCAATTCGTCATCCTAAGTACGTATGCAAAAAAAATTCCCATTTTCAAAATTTTGGTGATTATTAACGTCCAAAAGGGAAAATCTAAAAAATATCAGGATATTAACTGCACTTAGATATTTTCCTCCTCTAAATCGAATGATAAGTATGTTATGTTATTCGTTTTGAAACATTAGTGGCATAACTTATCTCATGAAATTGATGGCATTTTTGAAATTTGCAATTTCATTAGGGTGTACTGACCAGGGGATCTTGTATAGTGCCCGGAGCTCCCAGCATAACCACAATAAACATTAGATGAGACGCAGTTTAAACATTTTTCATAATAAATTCCCCAAAAATAAGTTCGCTCTTTTTTTAATTATTAGTTTTGTACTACCAGAAATGAGCTTTTGATTAAAGTATAAAAGTTACATGTACGTCAAAACTCGTGAAAGTAGTGCCATTTTGGAAATTTACATTTAAAGAAATTGAGCAAGGGTAGAGTGAGATTTAAAATTTATGACACATCAAATCGTCACCTTAAATATGTAACCTTAAGCATTTTACAATTTTTGTGATGCATTTTAACGCCGAAAAGAATTAGTTTAAAAAATATCGACATCTAACAACGCATTTAGATATTGTCTCTCATTTTTCTTCATCGAATCGGATGGTACATCATATGTTATGCTATTCATTTAGAAGCATTGGTAGGATAACTCATGAAATTGCTGTCGTCTTAGAAATTTCCATTTAAAAAACAGTGAACAGGGGGTAGAGAGAGATTTAAAATCTATGTAACACATCAAATCGTCACGTTAAACATGTAACCTTGAGCATTTTCATAATTTTGCTGATTATTAACGCCAAAAAGCGTAAATCTAAAAAATATGATTATCTACAACTACATTCAGATACGTACGAATAGCTTAATTTTGGCATGTTATATTACCGGTTTTGATACATTGGTAGGGTAAATTATGAAATTGATGTCATTTTAAAAATTACCATTTAAAGACATTAAACAGGGGGCAGAGTGAGATTAAAAATATAAAATAACAGTCATTCCACCTTAAATTGTTTCATGTCATTTTTTTTCACCGGAAATTTGTCACTGGTTTCACTCGAGTATTTCACAACAATGTATGTACTTGGTCAGGTCACCAACCACAAGTTTTGAAAGTGTTTGCTTTAATACAAGTCGTTTATGTAAATGAATGTGCATTGGAATTCGTCCAGCGATTCGATCAGGGAACAAATTCCTCGAGAAATTAGCCGATTATGGTAAAACATAACATATCCATTAAGCGCAATTTATGTGCTGTATGCAAAAGTTTATTGATACAAATCTGAGGCTGAAGAAATGTCTGTCTCACCTCATTAACCAATAATCAGGACATTTCATCAGGCCAGGATGGAGTAAAGTGTCCCTCGCCGTAGGAATTATTTACTAGTTTTGATACAATCGTTTTTTTAATTAAGAAATTTCGCGTGAAAATGTGGATGGGAAAATTCATTTCGGAAATTTTAAATTGATTATTGAGATACTAGTTTTGACTTTTGATAGAATCGTTTTTTTAATTAAGGAATTTCATTCTGAACGAAAATGTGGATGTGAAAACGCATCTCGGAAATTTAAAGGTGCACTGACCATGAATTCCTTACTAGTTTTGACTTTTGATGCAATCGTTTTTTTTAATTAGGAAATGTTCGAATTAAAATGTGAATGCGAAAATGCATCTCGGAAATTTTAAACCGAGTACTTACTAGTTTTGACTTTTGATACAATCGTTTTTTACGTAATTATTTAAAGGAATTTCTTGTGAAAATGTAGATGTAAAAATTCGTCTTAGAAAATTTGAATTGATTATTTACTAGTTTTGGTTTTTGATGCATGTTTTTTAAATAAGGAATTTCTTATTACGCTCGCATGAAAACTAATCTCGGAAATTTAACGTTGGATTGATTTGCAATTAATGGGATTGTGACAGACTTGTCGCTTAACGAGAAGATTGGCGAGGCAATGAACAAGGTGTGAATGGCTTAACTTGGAGGAGGCTGAACCATTATCGCGTAATTGGACACGCATGAATGGCTTCACTTTCAACGAGGAGGTGATCTGATGAGGCAAGAAACGGGTTCGAGGACTTTCAAAGTTTCCTGTAACAGAATTCTATTCAATTTTGTGATATTCCATTTAGTTTTCGTGGGCATTAAACATTCGTCGTTCAGGTTAAACAAATTGTTCCCCAATTTCAAAGTTTGAAATTCAAACGAATAGGTTATTGGTAAATGCGGAATGAAATATTGTAAATAGATAAATTCTTTTACATACAGAATATGTAAATCGTACATTTTCTGAATTCTTTCTTCTTTTCATAGTGAATTTTACAAACATGTAAAAGTTTAATGCCAAAATGTCAAATTTTAGTTTTACGTTGAACATTACGAAAATTTAATAGATCGTAATTCACATCATCACAAACACAAATTGTAAAAGTCCGTTTAGTCCGATGAACTTGAGGGAATTTATTTTAAAATTCTGGGCGACAAATTCGTAGTGCAGGTTGTTCCCAATTTTTTGAAAATATACACTCTAGATTTTGAGCCTTTTTGAAGGAGGAAATCTCCAGTTTAAGAAACCTTCAGAAAAATTGGAACTAATCGAAACTGGCTCAAAAAACCATTCAATTAATCAACGCACCGACTACAAATTTGTCGTTCAGAATTTTAAAATAAATTCCCAGAGGCGAAAAATGATTACAAATGTGCTGATTTCGATTTAAGAGGAAGAGTATGAACAAAGAGAATCAGGATAAAAGACTTGGCTTTTGCAACAAGTGAATTTGCTAAAATGAATCAGCGCTTATAGCAGAGAGGTGACACCACGAATTTGCAGATAACCGGTTACCCTTTCCGAACTCCGGTCCCAAGCAGACTATTCTGCGAATGTTTGTTTAAATTCTCAATTTATTCTCAATTATGCTCTCTTTATCTTTATGCTCTCCGACTTGACAAAGTAGCTCGTTTTATGTGGATTGACATTCATTCCTTCGCTATTCTTCTTGAACGCCAAAGTCATAAGATTGTATGATTTTGTTCATTAAACTCATCTCGCTTTATTGTAAACAAAACGCTGTCTTTTTTTACGATCCAAGTAGTCCTTCGCCTGTTTTACCTGTGGTTAGTTATACTATTGATCCTGAGATATGCACAGGTCTCATCGGATTTAACGACTGCACACAAGCTGGATTCGAGTAAATCTGTCAATGTCCTCGGCTCAGAGTGAATTTGATATTTCAATTTTATTGTGACGGATAAAAGATAGAGTTCTTTTTTTACGACTGGCGTTTTCCTCGATTCTGCACAGGGTGAAAACACGCCGCAATTTTGACGTCATCTGTGTCTACCGGTACAAACTTTATTATTGTTGAGACGATGCTATCGTTTATCGGAAGCATAGAGATATAAGTCGGAAGATAAGTATCTTATCGTGAAATATGCATGCATATCCCGTATATCTCCTCTACTTCCCAATTCTTTATGTAACTTAAAATCCTCCTGATGAATTATTATCGAGTGTTCACTGACTTGTGTAAATAAAGCGAGGAGACGTTATAAAACCTCAATTTGCTACTAGTTGACTCGTTTTGTAATAAAATGGAGTGATAAAAGGGTATCGGATCATGCATCTTTGAGCAAAAGTATGAAAACAGTCTGGTTCATAACATGCGTATTACATATTGTCTGGCAGGACATAAAATTCAGCAGGATGGTTGGTTGGTGATAATAAAAGACGGGTTTTTGGCAGGCTATCCAAGGATTTCTACTTTATTTATTCGTTGTCATTCATTATGTATAATATGCGTCACTTCTTTGGAACGAATTATAATGGTGATTTGGATGTAAAACTATTGTATATTTTACAAATTTATGTCTTAAGGTAGTATTCGATGACCCATCACAAAAGTCGGCAAATTTTTAAGAACTTCTCGCCTCTGGGAATTTACTTTAAAATTTTGGACGACAAATTTACAGTCAGTGAATTGTTTAATGGAATTACGCTGAGTTTCGAAAAGTTCCAATTTTTCTGAGAGCTTCTTAAAGTTAAGATCTCCTCCTTCAAAACGTGTCAAAATCTGGAGTGTGTATTTTAAAAAATTGGCAACGACCTGCTCTACCAATTTGTCGTCCAGAATTTTAAAATAAATTCCCAGAACGGAGAGATTATTAAAAATGTGCGAATTTTGACGACAAGTCGAACGTTAAATGTCGTTGGTTTCGATGTAATCCTCGCGCAGGGAGCATTGGCAGGCGCAGAGTTGTCCACCTCCGCCCTTGGTCGTGGGACAATTTGCACCCTCGTATAAAAATACGGAGGGATTTGGATTCTTCCTCACACAGTCTTGGAAGCAGGGCGTGAACGGGGTGAAAGTGCAGGATTTTTCCAGTACCTGGAAAAAATGCAGGAATTATGTAATTGTGTGTGCGTGGTTAAGATGTATTTTGTTTAGCTTACATCTCTACAGTCACAAACACAACTTCCGGTTTGTGGTTCGCAAAAAGTGGCCGACATCACGGTCGCTTTCTCTCCACAGATTTCTGGACAAATTCCAGGAATTTTTGTGCAGTTTAATTGATTTGTCTGTATATTTTGGTTAATTAGTAAATTTTGTGTGTTACTTAATTATTTGTACACTCACGTTAATATTTTTACTGGCACTTTCTCCAGATGTGGAGTATCCTGTCATCTGCAGAATTAGAAAGGATAACGTGACGTAGATAAAACTTGACCAGGATTTGGAACGCATTTTATTAAAATTTAAAGAGAAAGTTTTCCGTGAGAGAATTGTGTAGTTTTTTTAAGAGATTTGTGGTGAGAGCACTGATCTGTTTTATTTCATAAGTAAATATGTGTAACTAAATAAGTCCACATGACATTTGAGGTATGAAGATGTGATAATTTATTGGTAAACATGCTCTTAGATGAGAGAGTGGTAATATTGAGCGCATGCATCTGTACACATGTTTCATGTATGTATGCATTTAAACTTGCTATATTAAAAGCTAATCATAATTGTAAATGAGAATAAAAACGAACGAATAGTTGATCTTTCTTCCCATCTGTATCCGTTTAAATGAGAAGGAGTTGGGTTTTTAGCCCGAGTCAGGGCTTATGTACCAGTCATGGTTGTCTGTCTGTCTGTCCGTCTATCGATTACGCTCGTAAAACTGACCGACTTGAATTTTGGGGCAAATGAGGAGTTAAGTTCGAAGATATCGATCAGTTGTTGACCGGTGGGGGTCATCTGGGTGGGTGTGTGAGATATTATGCATAAAAATTTCAAAATTGTCGTAGAAAGCTGAAATTTGGTAGATAAGTTGCTAAAAAAGTTAGTCCCTGGCTCGGGCTCAACGAATTCTTCACTGTAGGTTTATTGCTAGGGTTTTGTGAGTTTTTATGGAAAAAGAGGAGGTTTTTAATTCCTGAAAAACCCTGCTGTTTATATCACGCCAACATTTAACGACGGCATGTCGTAAAGAAAGCAATATTAATTAATTATTCTACACATGTCATAACCATAAATGTTAACATAATAATCTCTCATCCTCTCTTTAAGCCGACAAGTAAGTTGGGGGTAAAAAATTCATCCTCATTATTACACTGTTCGTTATTCAACTTGTTACAGCAGTCTCACGACAAGTTATGGAATGCACGGGGAAATATGTATGATGACGAGTTATTTAATTGGCTACCGTAAAATGAAACGAAACCGATACCATTAGCGTCATCATCAGGGGTACAACAATTATCAGAAAAGGTGTACTTTATAAGCAGAGGGTGGATATGTATTTACATATTTACAAAAAAAAATCGATAAAATATGTATTTAATATTTCGGAAGAAAAAGTGCTAAAACATTTCCGAGATGTTTACGAAAAAACTAAAGGTATTTGAAAAATTTGCATTTTTTTAAAAATTTAATGCACTGCATTTTCGCAGATATGTGTTTACGAAAAAAACGTCCAAATATTAACGAAATACGTGCGAAAAAAAACATAAAAATAAAAATTTTGGCAAAATTTGTATTTTGAATACAATTTAACCGAACCTAATATGCTCTGGATTTTTTTATGCAAGTTCTTTGAGCAAAAAAAATCGTCACTCACATTACTCGTATTGAAATATTTGCAAACTATATGTATTTTTGAAAAAAAATATGTAAAACATTTATAAATTTTTCAAATAGAAATATTGATAACAAACAGCACATCGACAAAGATCAAAAGTCGGTCGTCATAAAATGGAAAAGCTGAAAATGAATACATATCCGCTCTCTGCTTATTATCGTCATTATGGGCAGAATTATTACAAAAGTTGTACTTAACAATAAATATTTGCCACCCGCTCGGCCGCTGTTTATGTGACGTCGTGCCTTATCTTGTCCAATTATTCGGCTTTGCTGTAGGTAATCGGAAGAACAGAAGAGAGAAGTTGGGTATAAAAATTGAAAACTAGTTCCATGTCATGTGGTAAACCCAGTGGGAACAATTAGCAATTTTTATTTTTGCTGCAAATCCGGTCGTGGTGACCCATGTGGCGAAAATTTTTGCATGGTTTACCATGTGTCACCTGCAGGTTGGAAATAAATAAAATCTAGTTGATGGATGACATTTGTTTGGGGTCAGGATTTTGTGTAGAATAAGAAGCGGTTTTCTAGCAATTTATGTATAGTCGGAATTGAAGTGGTCTTCTTATTTGTGATTAATTAAGTAGTCCACGAGGAGGAGACGGCTTGAGAATGGAGTTACTTGGCATATGGTAATTAATGTTTGAGAGAAATGTGACTGGACCGGTCTGTCTTTTGCGTGGACTGGACTCATCATTTGTTTGTCGTGGTCGTGGTGGAAATAAATCCGGTGGAATTTTAACTATATCCTGCTCCCACACAATGTCACTCAGCTATCATGCTCCAAATCTGCATCAAGTCGCTCAAGGGGACGCTTTATAAGAGAACAGAGTTCCGTATATTCCTTATCGTGTGGAATTTGTAGAGATGTGTTACTAAACTAACAATGGAGGTCTCCCAGCGTATGTGTTCTGATTTTGGCAAAATTATGGCAATTTATGACAAATTTAATTACATGGTATGAAATTTGCGAAAGACACAAGGAGGGGAAAAACGCACAGTAAATTTAGAAAGTGTAACATTTGTAAACTTTACTGCCTCCTTCATTTTCTGAACGATTGAATTCTTATTGTTGTTTGACAGCGTTTAAGTTATTTTAAATAAATTTGATACACTAGTTTACAAGTTGGATGAGACTTTTATATGTAATTTGGTACACTTTTACTAAAAAATGTGGGAACAAATTCAGTCCGTTTTTATAAAAGGAACTCCTGGCTCAATGTTTTCTTCCTTTCGGATGCAAATATCTCTGCATAAATGTGCCAATTAGATCGCGTCTTTTGCAAATTTCATCCTAATCAAATTTGTGATCAATCGAGACTAATTTGCTCAAAATCAGAGAGCATCCGCTGCGAGACCTTCATTGCGAATACTATTCTGCAAGTTAATTATTTATAGGATGAACAATACTTTGAGATTGAGGTGGTATGGTACGCATTTTTGTAAAATGTGTGATAAAAATGGAGTCATAATTGGTGTTACGACTTGTTATTGAGGTACTTTTACCCAGAAGGCAGATTTTGTAACAGATTTGATTCTGTAACACCAAAGAATTGAAGTTTTCTATGTAATCAATTATGAATCTTGGACCAATTACTGGTAATTTTTCATTGTTTCGTAACTAGCTAAAGAAATTAATCATAATAGACATCAGTATTATACATCCTTATTTATGCTAATGAAGCCTTCACCCTTTTTGCCCTGTGTGGTAAATGTGAACGTTGTTTTGAGCAGGGTCGTCAACGCACAAGGCAATAAGCGAGCGAAACCACTTTTTAGCCTGGTTTTGTTTGATCGAGGTGAGGAAAGATAAGAGAAAAGAAGGTGAGTGATTTAATTACTTACCAAGAAACCGGATGTTCCCTCTTTGCATTTTTAACCAGGACGACTTGATAAAGCTTTTTTTCGACATGTGAGTCGTCATCGTCATCGAGCTACTGAATTTCTTCCAAGCGAGTGAAAATTATTATCGGGCTGGACACTAATTAAGATTAATTAGTTGAGGTGGAGTGGAGTAGAGAAGAATTTTACAGAGAAGTTTTTGTCCGAATAATTCGCCGTAAATGGATTTATGGAGAGTTAGGTATTCATTTTGGTTGGAACAGATGCAAATATCATGTCCTATATTGGAGAGGTTATAAGTTTTTGGTCCGAGTGAGGCCTTATTTATCCGTCATGGTTGTCTGTCTGTCTGTCTTTCGATTATGCTTGTAAAACTTACCCAATCAACTTGAAATTCTGGGCACGCAAAATTAAGAGGTAATTTCGAAAATGAGGAAAATCGGTGAGAATAATCCGCCGTAAATGGATTTATGGAGAGTTAGGAGTTAAATTAGGTTAAAATAGATACATCTTTGGTTTCTGTTACGGGATCACTTAATAAAATGAGATAAGTTCAAACCTTATGTACGGTTCATATGTCTATCGAGTCGTAAAACTTATCTAATCTACTTGAAATTTTGGGGACGTAAAATATGAAAAATTAGGAATTATATAAGTTCGAAGATGAGGAAAATCTGCCTAAAATTTTTTTAAATGCCTAAATTATTAATCAGTATTTATCATTATTTTAATGGTTCGGTTAATTATTATCTGAATTGTTAATAAAAACCTGACTCGGGCTAAATAAGGCTGCAGTAGGTGTTGGTTTTTAAAACTAGACCATCACATAAAGTTTTATTAAGCAAAGACAACTTTTTCTCGTATTTGATCAACTCCACGTGTTAATGTGTCTGAATGGAAGAAGTAAATAAAATGCGAAAGAAAAATAGATAATAATTATGACAAAACGGTTTTTATCCTGTGATTAAAACCGAGTATGCAGAAGAATTAGAGATTATTTATTCATTAAATACTCGTCAGCGCCTGGGAAGTAGTCGATATCATTGTAGACAGTGGCCGCGGAAGCCGTGGGGACATGGGGGGACATTAACACTGTAGGACAGGGGAGGACATGGGCAGATGTTGTGGACTGTGGGAACATTGTCCCCACGCTTCCGCGGCCACTGATTGTCGAGCTACCTTTTTCCACCATTGTTCAGCGAACCGACCGCGGCTACCCCGTAATTAGCGTGTGTGGTTTATTTATTCCATCCGCATAATAAAAATTGGTTAATTTCATTCGAGGTCGGCGTTTAAATTCAAAGCCTGATCCCATTAATTGGATTGTTTTGCACGCGCGTTTTTAATAAAAATGGACAAATTGTTCCTTGCGGCGAGACGACGCTTTTGAAGTGGAGGGAAAGAATTTTATTAGACATTGTGAATTTAAGAGGTGCATATAAATTCATTTTTACCAAGAATGGGAACTTGTTAAGTGTGCAATTCTATTGTGCATTTTCTGCGATTCAGACGTGGCAGGAAATCATTTCTGGGAAGGAATTGTTTGCGTTTAAAAATGGGTAGAATTCATGTATGAAAATTTGTCAAATGAGGAGACAAATTGGGGTATGAAGTGGTTTCAAAAAATTTGAGCCTTCTTGACAATTATTTTATAAAATGTTTTTCAAAATTTAAAAAATTCATATAATGAAAATTTCTGAAATGAGCAGAGGAGACAAATTGTGGTATAAAGTGGTTTGGTATAATTTGAGCTTTGTTTTTAATTATTTTATAAAATGTGTAGAAATGTACATATGAAAATTTCTTAAATGTGTAGAATTCATATGCATAAATACGTATGACGTATGAAAATTTCTGAAATGTGTAAAAGAGACAAATCGTGGCATAAATTTGTTGATTTGTGGTCTCATAAAATGTGAGCGTTCTTGGCATTGCTTGCATTTGCAGTGTGGGGCATGTGGTACATAATATGTTGCAGTGAGACGATATTAATCCCTGGATTGCTTGATGGTCTGTTACAGGT